TCTAAGCAGTTTTTAGCAAAACAGGAAGTGGCAAAAGACTTGACTTCAGAAAGTTCCTGCCCTCCTAAGGACAGTTCGGATGACCCTCAAACATGGGAATCGTCAGAAATTCCCTATCGTAATAAGCTAGGAAAATGGACAAGAACCAGAGCAACCTGTTTCTTTGATATAGAAGCCTGCCATAGATACTTAAACATTGCCTTGTGGTGCAGGGATCCTTTCAAGTTAGGGGGGCTCATCTGTTTGGGGCATGTTAGCCTAAAACTTGAAGAGGTGGCTTTAGGATGCCTAACTACATCAAACATGGAGTACCTTTCAAAGTTCAGACTGGAAGCCCCATCACCTAAGGCCATGGTCACGAGAACAGCGCTCCGCAATCTGAGTATGCAAAAGGGATTCAATGACAAATTTTGCTTTGGTGACATTACTGTTCACTTCAAATATTTGAAAGAAGGAGAACCAGACCACCATGTAGTTACTAACTTGGAGAAAGAAAAAGAGTTTCACTTGGTCGAAGAGGTTTCTGCCTTACCAAAAGAGGAGCACTTTGTTGGACAGATGGGTTTAACAGAAAATAAACATAGTTTTCAGGATACTCAGTTTCAGAACCCAACTTGGTGTGATTATTGCAAGAAAAAAGTTTGGACTAAAGCTGCTTCTCAGTGTATGATCTGTGCTTATGTTTGCCATAAAAAATGTCAGGAAAAGTGTCTAGCTGAGATTCCCCTTTGTGGAACAAGTGATAGGCGGATAGACCGGACACTGAAAAACCTCAGGCTGGAAGGACAGGAAGCCCTTCTCGGCCTGCCTGCTCGTGCTGATGTTGAAACTAGCAAGTCAGTCAATAAAACAACAGGCCTGACAAGGCATATTATAAATACTAGCTCGCGTTTGTTAAATTTGCGTCAAGTCTCTAAAACACGCCTTTCTGAACCAGGAACTGATCTAGTAGAACCTTCACCAAAACACACGCCCAATACATCAGACAATGAAGGCAGTGACACCGAGGTGTGTGGTCCAAACAGTCCTTCTAAACGAGGAAACAACACAGGAATAAAGTTAGTGAGAAAGGAGGGTGGCCTGGATGACAGCGTGTTCATTGCAGTTAAAGAAATTGGTCGTGACCTGTACAGGGGCTTGCCTACAGAGGAGAGGATCCAGAAACTAGAGTTCATGTTGGATAAACTGCAGAATGAAATTGATCAGGAGTTGGAACATAATAATTCCCTTGTTAGAGAAGAAAAGGAGACAACTGATACAAGGAAAAAATCACTTCTTTCTGCCGCTTTGGGTAAATCAGGTGAAAGACTACAAGCTCTGACACTTCTTATGATCCACTACAGAGCCGGCATTGAAGACATCGAATCCTTAGAAAGTCTGTCCTTGGACCAGCACTCCAAAAAAATAAGCAAGTATACAGATGACACAGAAGAAGACCTTGATAGTGAAATAACCCAGCTAATAGACTCTCAGCCATTTAGTAGCATTTCAGATGACTTATTTGGCCCATCTGAGTCTGTGTAACAGTCTATTTAAACTTTCAAGTGACCGGGGGAAAGTTGCATCTAAAGTACCACAGATATAACCTTCTTATAACGCACTTTGGCTGCTTCTCCACAGTTATTTGCTTGTGTTAAGAACAAGAATGAAAAGATTGTTTTCCAGCAAAAACATGACCAGCTCACTAAATTGGTTGTTTCAGATTGCATTTATAGCTATGCTTTTTGGGTTTATACTTGTAATTTATTTTTACTAATTTATTTTTAACTTTTTCTAATTATGGAATTATGTAAGCTGACTTTTCATGTTTATGTATGTTGATGTCTCATTGTGCTATTTCCCTTCCTTTTGTTTTTTGAATTAGTGTTAAATAGGATACTGTCCAGAGTCCTGCAATATTTGGACTTTTATCACGGTTGTAACAGGTTGCTGTATGCCCGACTTGATAGCAGCAACCATTGAGGGAACAGGTTTTGAATCTTCCTTTGTGTTATGAAGTTTGTCATACTACTTGCTTGAGATTTTTATTATTTTAGGGTTCGGGAGTGGGTTTCTTTTTGTTTTGTTTTTGCCAAATGTAACATGAAAGCAGATACTACTACTTTAGTCAGTTATGCTGATTTAGTAAAAAAAATTTTTTTTTACATATATTGCTTGTTTTCTATGCCTCTGTGAAATTTTTTTCTAAAGTTTTTGTGCAGTTGAAATATAGTAAGGATATAGTGATTAATTTGAAGAGCTTGCACTGAAAAACAAATGTAACAAGTAGTAAATATAGAACACAGTTGGTAAAGAATTTTATAGAGAGATAAGATTACTGAAAAACAGCAGCCAGTAGGATTTTGAAATATAATCTTTCAAAATGTTGCTTTCTTTTCAAATGGAAGTTCTAAACATTTATGATTAGTTCTCATCTTCCGTTCTCCCATAGGAAATAAAGCATGTGCAAGGATATTTAAAGTTTCAGAAGACTGTTCTTAAAACGACCATGTTGATGACAGGTTTTGGCTGTTTTTGTTTTAGAGACATTTTCATGCAGGGCAATGTGAAGGAGAGAGGAATCATGAAAAGTAGATTTATTGCTTTGTCTTACATCCTACAGACTTAAAGGAATGGTGATCGTTCTGAATGCTTTTGTAGTTCAGACTATCTTCATTAAAAAAAAAAAGAAAAATAGACAGTACAGCTGCAGAGGAATTGGGACCAGTTATCTGAAAATGGGGATCTACCCTGATACTTGGTCCATGGTGTGGATTCCAGTAACACATGACTGAGGGGAAACATGAGCATGACCTCTGTTGGTATACCATAAAAGTTTTGGCCTTTCATATGTCTATAAAAAGATACATATATGTTTTTCTCTTTTGTAGGTGACTGCAATGATAATTGGTATATAGTAAAACTGATATGAATTTAAAACTAGATGGGATGACTTGAATGGCTGGCAGAAAAGAAGGCGTAGTGTAACAGTTCGTATTCTGACACCCATCCACAGTCCAGGACACCATACAAGAGTTTAAGTCCAAGCTCTTCCATTGGCCGTGAATGAACTGGTTAACCATAGGCAAGCCACAGTCTCCCAGGCTCCAGAGTAGGAATAAACAAGGTTTACTCTACCTCACAGGATTGTTGTGAAGGAAACAAGCATAACTAAATGCTCTGAACAGTAAAAAGCTATTCAAATAAAAGGTACGACTTATATGGGTAATAACATATTTGAGGGTAGAAAAGTTACTCCACTTTAAAAATTAATCGCCAATTCTCATTTCTGCTATTAGAATGAAATATTAGGAAACAATACTTTGTTGGCCAAGTTAATAACAAAAATATAGCTGTGTGTACCCCCTTTGTTTAAGCATGCTTGCATTTTAAAAGAACACTGCTATAGAAGTCTTTATACACACAATTCTCTGAAAGCTAAAATGTTGTTCTGTAACATATGCTTGAAACAATCTGCCCAATATAATAACCGACTTTCATCTTATAAAAATAACTTACCACTGATAGCCTGGAAGGTGGAGTGTCTGAAGTGGCTGGTGTTTATGCATCGTACCATGGAAGTTTTAGTGACATCCAAGCATGCTGCTGAAACATGCATTTGAAAGAGCTGCAGAACTTTGGTTTCATAAAAATCTACTCATGCTTGAAAAATATTTAACTCTGTAGAACCCTAGTTAGTTATGGAAAGCTCAGTAATGCTGCTCATGATATCTATAAAATAAACCTTTAATGTAGTGCAATATTTTCTATATATATTGGGAGAAGCAGTAGAGGCATCACAGTTGTACTTTAGTGCAAGGGGAACATTCCAAATAGCCCAGGGGAGAAGAAGGTATAAGGCTTCAATGAAAACAGTTGTATTATATTAAATTCCTAATGTAATCTTGCTGCCATGCTATGTTATCAATAGCTAAAGAATAATAAATAAAAACTACCACAGAAAACAAGAATATCTCCATTTGGTGACATGTGAAAAAGGTGATTGCTGCATCTCTATGGAATTACAGCCTGGTATAATTTGGCCATGCAGACAAGCTCAACAGTCCATTTTTGGCTAAACAAAATTGCTATTTTGAAAATTGCCTAAAAGCATTAAATTTGGTTTGACTTGTTTTATTTGTGGATTTGCCTCTGCTACCTATTAGTAATTAGGCTAAAGTATATTATCTACATCGGTATTCAATGATTGGATTAGACAGGCTGAGCAACATTTTAGCACTGTTTTGGAATCAGAATTAATACGCTACATTTCTTAATGTCAAGCCTTATATTTTTTGTAACAACTAGTAGAACTAGTTGACTACTATGGTCATTTTTGGTTTTGAGAAAAGGAAACAGCTAAAACTTTGAGGGTACTGTCAAGTTCTAAATTTAAATAGATCTGAATTTTTTGAAAGGCAATTTGAAAATATTTGGTTCTTACTAACACTAAGATGATAATATCTTAAGACTCCTAAAAGTGAATACATCTAAAATCACTTTAATTTAAAAATGTATTGTCTTTATTTCTAAATTGAGATAATATCTTTCCTTTTAAAAAAGTGAGGGGGAGGTTTTTTAGTCCTTTTTAAGCCATGGATCCCTTAAAGATCTGATTAATATAGACTCTCACCCCTAAAAGATGCACACGTGAACACCGTAAGTTGTATGGGACTGCCAGGGGCCAGGGGCCCACAGAATTAACACGTAGGTCCTGCGTACTTCAGTTATTTTTATGAGATATATTTGTTCACAGCAGTCAGGAAAATAATACAACTTTAGAGATGCTAGGATAACTTACTGAGTTTTTCCACACTGACAACATGTGACTAGTTAAATATTTCAATTTAAAACATTTTTCAAAGTCAATAATGTATGGTTCAAACTAAGTTGGAGAGGATTTTACCTGATGCCTGTTAGCACAGAACAGTTTTTAATTAAATAACAAACAGTACCTTGTTAAGTATTTGATTCCAACAACATCTGGTTTATAAAGGAATACAAAAAGGCACAGTAGCGTTCAGAAGATTTATTCAGGAAACTAGCTAAAACATGACTTAGGCAGATACACTTAGCAGTTAAAAGAAAGAACTGAATATTCATTGCTACCTCATTAAGGTTTTTGCATCTGTTTGCCAGGTACAAACAAAAACCACCTTTGCTCAAAAATAAGCTCAGAGAGCTGTATACCTTCTTTGTCTGACATACATTTTTTTTAAGCCTCTCTTTAGGGCCTTGGCTAACCCCAGAATATTAGTCACATAAAAGACCCCACAATTCCCCCTTTTTCCCCCTCAGATACAACTGATATCTTCTGCTCCTAAAACAGTTCGCACAACTACATCTTTAATGCTAACCCTAGGGATCAATAGCAGGCATGCCTTCCCCAGTCATGTTTGAAGAGACTGGAATCTGAAAGGCTAAATAGAGTAGGAATAAATTACATGGCATTGGGGCAGGAAGAACCACAGACTCTCAGGAAACTTGTGGCACGTCCTTTTTGAAGGCTTCCCCTGCGGAAGTGGAGACAAACTGCCTGCCGCCCTGAATGCCTGCAGCGCCACCTTCCCGAGCAAATCGGTGAGTGGGAAGCTTGTCGGCTTCCAACACCCCGCCCTTGCCAGCCAGACTGCAAATCATTCAGAGCCCCCGAAAAGCTTCATAAAGCACATGGGAATGAAGTATCGGCTAACTTCCCTAGAGACTGAAAAGGCTGAAGAGTCCTTGTGCTAAAGTTCTCTGTTCCTTGTTGTCCAAGTTAAACACAATTTTAGCTTAACAAAAGCACTGACAGGTCATTTTTGTTTACAGTTACAACTACGGGATTAAGTATTATTTGAGGCATTCCACACTATCGTCACACTCCAGTCATGTCTCACACACAACCTGATGTAAACTGACAATGTTCACTGACACAGTATTTGACGTTACATTGAAAAGGCACGTCGATGTCGTGCTAGAGAAACTACATTACACAGCAGATGATACAGTGATACAGAAGCGTTTTTAGATGTTTGGTTCCTTCCTGCCTGTGAAAAGGGGGTGTGTCCTGACCGCCCTATTACTTCTACCTGTTGTCCTAACGTGATTCAACACATACTTTCATTCCTTCTTCATCTTCATTAAAAACTTTTCGCATTGATGTGAACAGCTTTCAGAGGTCTAGGAAATAATAGTTTCAGACAACTCAAAATTAATAGATCCCTAGAAAACACTTGGATGACCTCCAAACAGGTCAAAGATGATATATCTGATTTTTTTTTTCATGTCATAGCAGCTAATTAGCCTTTTAAATTGATTTTCTAAGACCTGAACTAGCTGTTGATATAGCTTACCATGCTTAAACAACCTTGACAGTACAGGGTACATCTGTCTTCAATTTTCTTTCATCCAGTAAGACATTCAAGTATGTATCTTCAAGGGCAAGCTGCTAGTTGTTCGTAACAGTTTATCTGGGCGCTTTTCTCTACTTTCAGAACATTTACTATTTTTTTCCTTCTTGGCTTTAATGTTTGCTACCAACCACATGACATGTACACATAATTTACAACCAGCTGTTTCCAGGTAGGTGGTTACATATAGATAACTAATGCCAGCTAAGATTTATGGATAAATCCAAGAGGTAACTGACTCAAGTTCTTGCCCTCTGCAGTTGAGATAACTAGCTTTTAACTCATATTGATAATTATTACAAGTTGATTAACTCAACACTCTGTCACTACGTAACCATATGCTGTCTGTCTTGATTGTTTTTCAGACTTCCTTCTAGTTTCTGATTGTTGGAACTGTCTCAGAGATAATGTGTGCTTTAGTTTCAAACACTCATTACCAATATTCAGAAAAAATGCAAGGTGTTTTCTTTTGCCCAAGTGTTCGTGAATGTAAGTTAAAAAATTATATCTGATTTGGATTCAAATATTTATAGATTTACACTATATCTATTTCGTCAAAATATATTGTATAATATTTAATAAAATCAAATACATAAAATAAAGTTTTCAACACTTTATACAAACCCCTAGAAAAGCTGCTTTTTCTTTATAAGGCTGTTGGCAATCAATCATAACCATGGAAAAGAAATGACAACCTTAGTGGTTCTACTCTTTCACCAGTGATGCATGGCATGGCTGAGGCGGTTCCGATGAGTCTTTCACTGGAAACACTGCTTGATACAATGAAATACTTGATGACTTCTGAGGGTCTCAGTCACTTTCAGATTCTTCATCACCTAGCGGATATGACTGGACATTGTTCTGAGTGTACATTTTCGTTTTAATGGGGCAGTTGTGATCCATGAGAATAGCCTAAAAGAGAGCAAAATGCATATACATTAACTTCAAGTTTTAAAAAGATAAGATGGTTTCAACTGACTTTTTAAGGATTAGTTTGTGTGGGTGGATGGATGGATGGTTTTAACTTTTAAGGATTACTAGTGTGTGGGGGGTAGGTGGATAGATGATAGATTAGATAGATAGATAGATAGATAGATAGATAGATAGATAGATAGATATGCCCACTGTTAACCAGTCATTTGGTGCAATTGTCAGGTGCCTGCCCCAGAAAACCTGGAGTTTTACACTCAGTGAAAATTTCAGGCAATAGGATACAGCAGAAGCTGTCTCCACCGGATTATACTTGCCAGGGGCCAAAAGTTGATTGGGGGAAGCCTGTAAGTGTAAGCTATGAAGAAAGGGTATGCAGGTAAGGTTTAGGAAGAGTTATACTGAGAATCGTGGAGCCAGGGGGAGCGGTGGTCCCTGGAAGTCGCCCAATCCAGCTGCTGTTGTACAGACTTCATTGCAGCAACACTAAGTAAGGCCATGCTCCCTCCCGATGAGGTGAGCTCTCGAGTTAGCAATGGACCTGAGGCTAGACTAGAACTGCCTCCGTTGTTTTGTGGATCGGGTTCTGATCTTCATGGGTCCGTCTTCACGGACCACCCTTACAATAGTTTAAGGCCACTGCTACGGCCCCTCCGGTTTCCTTAGACGAGAATGTCACACAGCCTCTGTCTTCACAAACAGCACTTCAGAGCCCCTCCCCGCAATTCCTGGCTGCCCAACTCTTGCTCAAATGTACGATTTTTTTTTTTTTTTATCCTCACCCGAGGACATTTTTCCATTTTTTGTTCCGGTAGAGTGGGAGGGAGAGAGAGAGAGAGAAACATCGATGTGAAAGGGACACATCGAGTGGCTGCCACCCGCACGACCGACCAGGGCCGGGGACAAACTGCAACCGAGGTACATGCCCTTAGCAGGAACCGAACCTGGGTCTCTCAGGACCGCAGGCCGATGCTCTAACCGCTGAGCCAAACCGGCCAGGGCTCAAATGTACGATTTTTTAAAAAATGACATTCCTCTTGTGAAGGTGAAAATCGTGTGCCCTCATTGTTACTGAAGATGAAACAAAAAATAGTTGACCCTCAGTTGATCAGCACTTGAGTTATTTCTCCTGAAAATGAACAGACCAAGCACAGCCTGGGAATACGGCTGCCGTGTATCATGCCAGGACCATGCTAAGCACTGCCAATGAAACACCTAAACTTCACAACAATCACGTGTGGTAGGTTGATAACCTTTCGTGTCAGCACAGAGGTGAAGGACCTTGACCGAGGGATGTCCAGCCAGCGTGGGGCAGGGGAGGGGACAGCCTGTGCTGAAGGTGCCTTCTACGGAGCACGGGTGGGGATGCGGGGTCCCAAGAAATGAATTCTCTCATCAGGTGATGTCTTCCTGGGTTTCCTTCCACATAAACTATTCGCCTAATACCTTCGTGTGCAGTTTGAACGTCTCGGTGGAAACATTTACGTGGATTAAAATATATCCGGCGCTGGCCTGTTGCAGCCTCTCGGTGTCTGTCAGCCAGCCCTCCCAGTTCTCATCCCTCACATGTGATACGCGCTGACTCCACTCCGTGCCTAACCCACTTCTCGTTGCCCAAGAACTCTAGAATGATCTGCCTGTGTGACATTAAGATAAGGACTTCCCTGACCCCTTCTGATAGGCTGCCAGCTCCAACTGTTGGCTGCAGACTTAGCTCTGTTTTCTATTACGCTTCTTGCCAAGTAGAATTGACATTGTATTTCATAAAGAGCTCAATTTCTAAAAATAATTGAGGCAACTGACATTGTACACCAGGACCATTCTCTCCTTGTGAATGTGTCCTTGTTACAAGGAAGCCTTAACCTCCAAAGAGCTCAAGGTCTCGTCTCCTATATTAATGACCCTCGAAGACACGTGCCCAAGAATCACTTGGGAGGGGAAAGGTTAAAAATGAATTTCAGCCCTGGCCCATTTGGCTCAGCAATTAGAGCGTTGACCTGCGCTCCAGAGAGACCCGGGTTCGGTTCCCGCTAGGGGCACATACCTTGGCTGCAATTTGATCCGGCCCTGGTTGGGTTGTGCAGGTGGCAACCATTTGATGTGTCCCTTTCACGTCAATGTTTCTCTCTCTCTCTCCCCCCCTCCTACTCTATCTGAAACAAAAAAGGAAAAAAATGTCCTCGGGTGAAGATAAAAAAAAATGAATTTCAGGCCCTGACATCGATGTCTCTCTCTCCCTCTCCCTTTCTCCCTCTCTAAAAATCTTAAAAAAGATAAAAATCAATTTCAGGTCCCTACCTTCACATGATAATGTTGTCAACATGCTACGAGGAACAGTGCCCTAGTTTCGTGAGGTTATCTGGGACTACAGCAGAGTCACACAGCTGGGAACAAGTATGTCTGCCCTTCGTGTCCTATACCAGCGACTTAGATCTGACTGTACATAGATGTAAACTTCTTAACGACCCCCAGAACCAAGCTCTGGCCACATAAGATGGACTCAAACTGCATTGCAAGGGAAGAACTTCAGTCCAATCGATTGGCCTCATACAGATCTAAATGGTGAGAACTGATCAATTCGGCCAAACCACATCTGTCACACGGCCTGTTTCAGGTGAGGTGTCCTTCCTTGAAATATTGTTGTGTAGCTTTTAAAACCTAACTTACTGGCTTCAGAACCTCTTCTGAGAGATTTTTTGTGTGCAATGGGTTTCTTTTTTAAAAACATCATGTATTGCCCTGGCCAGTTTGTCTCAGCGGTTAAAGCGTCGGCCTGCGGTCCGGAGAGACCCGGGTTCGGTTCCCGCTAAGGGCATGTACCTCGGTTGCAGTTTGACCCCGGCCCTGGTTGGTCGTGCGGGTGGCAGCCACTCGATGTGTCCCTTCACGTCGATGTTTCTCTCTCTCTCTCTGTTCCTCTCTCTCCCTCCCACTCTATCCGTACAAAAAATGGAAAAATATCCTCGGGTGAGGATAAAAAAAAACAAAACAAAATAAAAACATCATGTATGAATAAATAAGCTTGCCCTGGCCAGTGTGCTCAGTGGTTATAGCACCGAAGGGTCTCGGGTTCACTTCCTGGTCAACGACACGTACCCGGGTTGCAGGTTTGATCCCCGGCCCTGGTCAGGACGCTTGCAGGAGGCAACCAATCTATGTGTCTCTCACACACCAATGTTTCTGTCTGTCTGTCGTCTGTCTCCCCCTCCCTCCCTCCTTTCCACTCTCACTAAAAAATAAAAAAATCAATGGAAAAAAATATCCTGAGGATTAATAAATAAGCCGGATGGCATGAAACATTCCAAAAGTGCCATGAAAACATTTATGAACAGGATCAAGTGGGTAAGACCAGGGAGTGAGGGTCACCACGGAGTGGCTGGGAGCAGCCTTGTCGTTGAGACCAGTACTCAGCGCACCGCGGTGGGGAGAAAGGTTCCATATCTTTAAACACACACACACACACACACACACACACACACACAGAACAGTTACAGTTTTGCATCCATTCTGTAAGTGCCCTGCAAAGGGACGAAGTTCTTTGACTAGATTCCAGCATACAGAGTACAGGCAGTGTACTTAGCCTCTGCCGGCCCCGCCTTGCCCGCCCCACAGCTTCGTGGAAACAGCTAGAAGGACTTGATGAAACAAACGACGCTCATCTCAGAACCACGCAGGAAGCTACCGTCCTCACCACGCCCTTTGCTGTCTGAGCAACAATCAGATATAAGAAATGTGCTCTCTTTGAAACTAACTCTTCAACCTGAAAAAAACAAAAAAATCCACACCTGAACACAGTTCTTCTCCACTGGGTACTCGGAGAGGTACAGGCTGCGTGTTAACTGATAACTGAATCGAGTTTTCTTCGAATGATCATGTTGCTATTTCTTTTTTTTTTTTTTTGGTACGTGCCCCCAGTGGGAACTAAACCTGGGGGTCTCTCTGGTCCGCAGGCCGACGCTCCAACCGCTGAGCCAAATGGGCCAGGGCGTGTTGCTATTTCTTAATCTTACTTAGATACTTAACAGTTGTTTTTTTCTCTTCACCTATATTGCTAACTCAACACTGATCATTAAAAAAAAAAAACAACCAGAATTCCAGTAAATGAAATAGAAGAAAAACTCAAATGCTCACAAACTAATTCATGACAGTAGGACTGGGGCCCACGAAAGCAGCACTGGTCATAGCCTCAGTCCAACCACGACTCTGGCAGAATGCTGCCTAGTGAAAGGGGGACTGGCTAAGCCCGTATTCCCTATCCCCGCTTCCCATCGCCCTGCACGTGGTGACTGTGGTCCTGACGGCCCACCCTCAGATGGGCGGCAATCAGTCTGCCCCCGCCACGGCGCACTGCCGGCCTGGCCCCGATCGTCGGATTCTACCGGTTCCCACGAGTGGGCAGCACTGCTGGCCACCGCCCTCAGATGTGGCCAGCACGCCGGTCAGATGGCATCTGATGTGCCGCTTCGGTGAGAGTAGCGATTACAGGCAGTGAGATGCACTTTTTCTCCAGTTTTTAATGATTCATCTTGCTTATTAAGGATTCTGACATTGCACAGAGAGTGGCTTTCGGGAAGCCTGTACTTCTTGTCGCTTTGCCTTTTAGAACCGTCTTTCCCATTTCCTTCGGCACGTCTCTTCTTACATGAACGGAAGCACTGCTGGAACCGTGGCAAGAGGAGCTGCACCGGGCCAGCCTCTGCCGTCATTTGGTGGCTCTGGGGGCGAGCTCCCCCCACCACAGCCCCTTCTCGTCCTCTGACCTCACCATTTCCTCCACTTCCTCCGATAAGTCATCATGCTGCCAACAAACGATAACACAGCAGCCACCCCCTAACGTCCGCTGCGTGGCGAGGCAGCCACTCAGCAGTTCTGGGGTCCGAGCAGCCTCACCTCCCAGAGGGAGGAAGGGAGGCCGAGTCGGCCGCTGGCTGCCGGAGCGAGTCAGATGTAGGCGGGAGCAAGGACCACTGAGCGCTCGCTGCTGGGGTTCCTTCATTTAACCCCCCAACAGCCCTACGAGGTGGCTGTCACAGGTCCCCACGTGGCAGTCCTGCTCCCAGGCCGGGCCGGCCCTTCACTGTCTCCCAAGAGCCTTAACCGGTCTCCTGGGTGACAGAGGCATTGGTAGGCGATTAGCCACCATCAGATTGATGGGGTGGCAACAGGGCAGTTTCCAGCTGTTGCACTGAGAATTTCCTGCCCCTGGCTTGGGCAAGGAAGTGTGCAGAGGTCAGTCAAACAAAGATGGAGAAGGAACTCCTACAACCAGGCCGGGAAGCAGGTGAGTCAGTCCCCGAGAGATGCACGGTAGCTCAATGGAGAGGCAGCTGACGAAGCCAGAGGCAGGGAGAAAACGGTAGCTTCCACGAGAGCATTTCCACGTGCCTGCCACGCCTCTTCTTTGAGTCAAATGGGTCATGAGAAATTCAAAATGGTCCTGTTAAATCTGACATAACAAAGGGCACGGTGCTGAATATATTTTTCACATTAACAAATGCGGGAAAAAAAATGCCCCAAACTAATAAAAGCTGCATGTCACCTAACTTCAGGGCCTGCATCTGTCTTTAAATCCACCATTTGGGGGAAATCGTAAAAGGGCAGTTCAAGAAACGCCAAGGCATGGACACCCATCTCAGTCCCACCGTCAGAAAGAACTTGGGATGTGCTCCCAGGAGAAGATCGCAGGCGAACCTCATCCATGCGTGACCAGTGCCACCTCCCTGCCTTCGTTCTCTCATCCGTTCCTAGTCGAAGGCTCTCTTCTTCTGGCTGGATGAGTATCTAGCACCATTTGATGTTTGAAAAAGTTAGTAATGCCCACCACTGCCAGCTACGAACACTTACGAGAACGGTTAAAATGACTGGTACATTTCAAAATTCAAATTCAGAATCGATCAGTTTGAACTTGTTGAAGAGAGGAACACTTTATTCTCTAGCTCACCTATAGCTATGATTCAGGTCATGCAATGCCAAGGTTATGAATGTCAAAGTTATACATGCTCATGTGTGCCCGAAGGTACACATACAGCGTTTTCCCCTAAAGGTCTGTTACCTACAGTAGACCATCCCCAGAATCTCAGGCAGTAAGGACTAAGATGCTATTAGTAAAATCTGCGAGGGTTAGGAGAGAAGCAAACAGACCAAAAATGGCACCTCTTAAGAGTAAGCTCAGGAGCTCAGGAGGCAATATATATATATTTTTTTCTTCAAGATTTTCAAGAACCATAGAAAATTAAACTATCCCATGTTTACATTTCATTGATAAGGGAGCTTAACTGCTAATCTATGTACAAAAAGTCATTTTATCCTTCAAATATATAAACATATGCTTGATATAGTAAAAGAAGCAGCGTTCCCATGCGGTATAAACTGAAAAGGAACTGTTACCATTTATGTTTGGATAGCTCTGCCCAAAAGGAGCAGGAATATATGTTAGAACTGAGAAACTGTCCAAAAGACCATGCTAAAATGGTCAAGAAGCACTTCGATACATCCTAAAATTTTCTTACCATTTTTTCTTCCTTGGCAGGTGGACTTCGAAGAAAAAAGCAGAGTGGGGCAAAAACAATATCAATCATTCCAATAATTGTCATGAGCCACGGAAATCCAATTGCCTTGGCGATAGCCCCACCAGCGGAAGGACCTTTCAGGAAACAGAATTAGATAAAGCTCTCTGTAAATGTCTCGTGCACAGAAAGATGCAAAGGTTTAAACGATGCTCAGCAGGCATTCTCCGCCGCAACGTGCTCACCTATAGCGTATCCCATACAAAAGGCCACGTCTGCAATGGCGTACACGCTCCCGTAGACAGACACGTGCCGCAGGTCTACCAGGTGGCCCATGATGGGCATCATGGAGGAATCCACCATGCCTGTGGGGTCAGAGAACACAGTCTGTAGAGAACTGTTGTCAACTGAAAATGGGATGAATGTCAGGACCGTGTGCTAACCTGGCAACAACCCTGCTGCCTCTTCTCCTTCCGTCTCCCCCGCCTGCGAGCCTCAAGGCAGACTCCCTACAGCACTCCTTTTGCTGAAGACCAGCTGAGGGGCGCCGAGCCTGCGACTCGAACCCAGGCCACCATCTGCCTGCTCTCTGCCTCACCTCACCTTGTCCTCACTGTCTGGGGGGCCTGTCCCTCGATGGGGAGCACCAGGTCCTCTGGTGACTCGCCCGTATTCCTCGGATCCAGCGCTGGTTGCTGGCCGTGTGGACCCCTAGCCCGCTCCCTGCTGCTGCTGTCCTGATTCATTAGCTTCGGGTCCACTTGTCCCCGCCCTCAAGCAGACACACCCGCACACCTCACCCAGTCTCCTCCCCATCCACGCCTGGGCCTCACACACTTGGGAGGGTCAGAAGGAACCACATCAAGGAGTCTAAGTCCGGCTGGTGTGGCTCAGGGGTGGAGCATCAACCCCTGCACCAAGAGGTCGCTGGTTCGATTCCTGGTCAGGGCACATGCCCAGGTTGTGAGCCCGATCCCCAGTGGGGGGCATGCAGGAGGCGGCCAATTGATGTTCTCTCTCATCGATGTTTCTCTCTCCCTCTCACTTCCTCTTTCTCTAAAATCAATAAAGGAAACAAAATTTTTTTTTTAAAAAAAGGGTGACTCTTTAAAAAAAAAGGTAGACTTCCGGTCAAGATGGCGGCGTAGGTAAGCGTCCTCCCACAACCACATCCAAGTTACAACTAAACTACAGAACAACCATCATTCAAAACCGCCTGAAATCAAGCTGAATGGAAGTCCTACAACTACGGAATTAAAGCAGCAGCCGCATCGAGACTGGTAGGAGGGGCGGGGGCGCGAGGGGCGGAGGAGAGACAGCGGTGAGACGGGCTGGGCCCACACCCACGTGTGGCGGATAAAAATCAGGAGGACAGCTCGGCTGGGAAGGTCCTCCCTGAGGACTGAGGGGTCCCCGTCCCACACCAGGCGCCCCGCTCAGGGTTCCAGTGCCAGGAAGAGAATCCCCATCACTTCTGGCTGGAAAACCAGCAGGAACTGAGGCTCAGGGAGGCTGAGGCGGCTGGAGCCCCAGGCAGCTCCTCTTAAAGGGCCCGCGCACGGACTTATGGGACTCATCGGACTCTCTCCCTCTAAGCTTGGAGGGGAGGCAGCTCGAGGGGCGCCAGAGACATACAGGGAAGAACTGAGCTGTTTGGCACTGGAGCGAGGGCTGGAGAGGGGGCTTTCTCCGGGACAAACTGCTGTCAGAGGCCTTTGTTCCTTTGGTGAGCCCTTCCCTGGGGTGGCAGACAGCCTCCGTATCTGGGACTCCAGCAACCTGGCTCACACTGGTAGCTCCGCCCTGGTGACTCCCTGAGGCCCCGCCCCACCCCACCCAACTTTCAGGCCCACCCAAGCTGTTGCCACCTGCTTAACCATAGGATTGGCCTGTCTTGGATCCTGCTTCAGGTTTTTCCTAAATTCTTTCAAACGAGCAGCATCTGGTCTCAGCTAGCCCCATACCTCTCTTTAAGTAATACACTGAAACAAACACAGGGAGGCAGCCAAAATGAGGAGGCAAAGAAACAGGTTCCAAATGAAAGAACAGAACAAGAAAAGAACTAAGCGAAATGGAGATAAGTAACCTAACAGATGCTGAGTTCAAAATACTGCTTGTAAGGATGCTCAATGAACTCAGTGAGAACCTCAGTGAACTTAGTGAGGGCCTCAAGAGCATAATAAAGGACCTGTCAGAAATGATCGATGCACAGTTAGAAACGAAGGAGGCTTTAACTGAAATAAAGAATAATTTACAAAGATTCAATAGTAGAGTACGTAAATCCAAGAAGCAAACCATTGATTTGGAATATAAGGAAGCAAAAAACACCCAATCAGAACAGCAAAACGAAAAGGGAATCCAAAAAAATGAGGATAGTGTAAGGAGCCTCTGGGACAACTTCAAGCGTGCCAACATTCACATCTTGGGGGTGCCGGAAGGAGAAGAGAGAGAACAAGAAATCGAAAACCTGTTTTAAAAAAAAAAAAGGAGTCTGAGGGACCATCTGGCCCTACTCGGAAAATTAAAATCGAAAGAGGTTTGCTCATTATTGGGGGGGAGGGGACTACCACCACCTAGACCAGTATTACAGTTTCTGATCTCTCCACCGGTCGGGGACAAGAAGCATAAAGAAACAGCGCATGTGTTCAGAGTCCTGGGATCAAAGCCCTGGCTGGGTGAGTGTGGTCATGCCTTCTCTCTCTGAACATCGGTTTCCCACCTATCCAATGGGGATGGCCATGACCAGCTGGGGTGAGACAGCGTCTGAGAGCACGCCCAGCGGAGCACCGGGGCAGGAGGAGGAGGGAACTTTCTTTCATTCCACTATTGTTTGCTGATCACCGAATACCTATGAGGTATGGGGACCCGGGAGAGAACCAAAGAGTCGGACATTAAGCAAAGAGTTGACCATGAATTACAGCTGTGACTGATGCCACCAAGGTGGGTGAGAGCACCCGTGTACACAAGGGGGACCTGGTCCGAGGGGTCGGCGAAGGCTCCACTCTTTCTTTCTGCTGTACCAAGGATACATTCCTGCCTTTACCTGCGACAGGCTCAGCACTTACTTGTATCCTGATCGATCTGTATGTTCTCACTGAGAAGCAAACAGTAGCAGGAGTTTCCCTAACATATTATTGTCCCTCACATTTCAGATTCATCTCCTTCGCCCACAGAAATTCCTGCGGCACAGGTGGTCATCACTACATCCGTCCACCTTTTCTGTATCAAAGCTTATAAAAAATACACATGAAGCCTGGGTCCTGCAGCCTCATCCGAGAAGGTCTGTTCGCAGACCTGCGCCCACGCGGTGCTCTGCTGTTTGCCCAGGCTCGGCGGCGGAGTGTCGCTTGCTTCCACAAGTCCCAGGCTTTTTAAAATACTGGTTTCCAGAAAACAAACGACCGGTACGTGGACGCAGGTATTTTCCTGGGGATGATCTACAGGCTATACTGGAGCCTGGCTGCCCATAGCCGCCTCTCAAGCTTCTAGAAGCTTGAGGTTCAGGAATCATGGTGTGCCTGAGAGGAAATCTTCCTTAGCAATGGGGAGAACTGTTTCAAATTTAGGCACAGGGCTCGTGGGACTTACCAATTGCGAAACCAACCCCGAAGGTGGGAGCTATGAGCCCGTACATGTTTTTTGCAAGAGGAATCTGTAGGAGGAAATAAACGTTATACTGAGATAACGACAGTCAATTCAGATCATCTTGGAAACTCTTAAAACTACGTTTTCTCCAGCTGAGTATGCGTGTTGCCTTCTGAAAGAGACAGGAGGAAGAAGGGTGGGTTCGGGGAGAACCAGACCCCCCAAATCTTTCCAGTTGAAGCTGAAACGGGTTTTGTGAGCATCACAAAAACTAGCCAACTCCAGGATGTGAAAGATCAGCCTGGTCCACACCCCATTGCTGACAAGGACCCAAAGACCTCATTTGAGGTGGATGTTGGCCACTGGAAGATGTTTCATTCTAGAAAAATAATCTTGCTATGGTTTCAGGGTAGTCATCCTAAAGTGTTTAAGACATTGTAATGTTTAAGATGATGGGGTGGGGGTGGGTGAAATATAACTATGTAATAAAACACTCTCAATAACTTCTAACTGACATAAAATGAAAACATATCCCTTGGAGAGTCGTGTCCAAAATTTGTAAGATGATAAAAAATTAGAAGAAAATGAAAGATGTACTAAAAATCAATTATCAACAAACTTCAAACTGCTAAAAAATATTTCTTGGTGATTCTTGCCCAAAGCAAAAGTTTTATTTACAGACCATTTCCATGTGTTCAATGGTGTCTTTTACTCACACATAAAATGCTGATGCCAACAATGATCATTCCCAGAAGGGCACAAAGCCACCTATAAAAAAAAAACAAAACACCACCATCAATAAATATTCCTCTCCCCCCCCACCAGCCCCCACCCAAATTTTCAATGGGAATCAAACAATTGCTTGTAACAGCTAAGATAGAAACATGGAGGACTTTAAAAGAATGACACTTCTTAGAAGACAGCGTTGTTTTCGGTCCATCTTACCTCCCCATTTTGTGCGCGAGTATCCCAAAAATATTGGTTCCAATGAGATAAGAGATACTAGCCGGCAAGAAAGCAACGCCTGTAAATTTATGAAAAGGACACCTTATCAGTACTGACATCAGTCAAATGTTAGGAGAACTAATCATCGCAGACACCGTGGTGGCGATTAGAGCAGATGAAATGAAGCCCCGCGGCCGGCAGCCCAGCAGGCTAATATCCGGCAGCCGTGCGCCAGGCCGGACCCCCGGGGCTCCTCGGTCCCTGCAAAGCCTCGGAGACGCTCCAGACGTGAAATTCATTTCTCTATCAGCCGCTGCATCTCGCCCCGGCCCTGCCTGGCGGGGAGCTGTGCGCGTGGACGGACAGCAGCGGCACCCGCATGTCAGAACAGGGCACCTGGGCGGCATCTCGGCCTGTCCTCTCCCCGCACTGCTTTATAGGACAGAAGGAAGACAATAGCTTGGAGAAAATCGGGGAACATTAAGGACCAAAAAAGGTAAAATTACCCCAAATCCCATCACTTGGATAATCACCATAGTCATTTTCCCTTATAAGTTTGTGTGTACACCCCCAGGGCTCAGCTGGTTAGAGTGTTGTCCAGCTATGCCGAGGTGATGGGTTCGATTCCCATTCAGGAACATTTTTAAAATATACATGCCAAGTTGATGTGTACATAATAAATGTGTGTGCACGGGATTTTGTTTTGTTTTTCCCCAAAAAACAGGGTTATACCTACTGTTCTATGTCCTGTTTTTTTCAATTAGCTTTATGAATATCTTTCCATGTCAAAAAAAGTAAATGTCTATGTGGCCATTTTTTGTGGCCGAGTCATAGGTGACTGAAATGTTCATGTCCAAGGTTGAGTGGTCCCCCAGGAGTGGGACCCCAGGTTGCGCCCGAGCTGAGGTCCAGCTGCTGGTGGCGGTGGTGGCCTCGACTGTGCCCTCTGAGTGACCTGAAGGCCTACTCGAGTCAGACCAGGCTTGGCTGCCAGGGACTTGTCCACCTGAGCTCTCCCTGGCCCCTATTCATTGCGAAAACAATAGGAAAATGTCTTTCTGAAAGATGGCTTTTCAAACTCTCAGTGTTCACAGTTGTTTTCTTCTTGAGCTCAGATATACCAGATTTGATTCTGAGCCTTGCCCACAACTAGTGAAAGTCGCTTTGTTGTCAATCCTGTGAGCACATAAATCAGACACCGTGGGAGGTACTAGGTGGTCGGCAGGTGCCCACTGAACTCACAATGCACAGGGCCTGGGGGCCTTTCTCGTCCAGGAGCTCACAGCACACACGGTCCACTGGCCTTCCACATCGGGTCAGTGAGCTAGGAAGCCCCCCTTCCCCTCCCGGGGAGCTGGAGCCCTCCCGCAGTCGGGACTTCAACAGGACTTGTTCCGGGAGCGTCCGCAAGAGCCATCAGGTGTCACCGTGCAGCTCGTGAGACTGTTCTGCTTCGATTTCAAATCTCATGGCCTTTCTCCAGAAATGTGGGGAAGCACCAGGGCAGACTGGCTTCCCGGAGCTCCCACAGGCCCCTGAGCAGGGAGGGGCCGGGGACTGGCTGTGCACTGGGTCCTCGACTCAGGGACGGTCCTGTCACTGTGTCACCCAGAGTGCCCTTCCCCCTACGACCCAGAGGGGCCTGAGGGGTGCCAGCAGAGGTGGGCCACATGCTCCAGGGACCACACTGCAGGTGACACAGGACAGGCGTAGAAGAGTGATTCTCTTCAAGAAACCCGAGTGTCTCTCTGAGGCCAGGAAGGGATGACGTTGCTGGTGGGAAGGGGACCGTCTGGCGGGTGATAAGAGGCTCCCCGAGGAAACCGAGGCAGCTTGCTCTCTAGTCCGATGGCTCAGGGCCTCTGACGGACTGTAAAGACTTTATAAAGAAAACTGCAGGCTTGTGTCTGGAGAGGAAGAAGACAGAGCAGCTAAGTGCCCTGCACAGGGCCTGATGCCTTCAATTAGGGTAATGAGTCAATTAAGTGAAGGCAGCACGTCGGCAAAGCATCTCGGCCCAAGAGCGCTGCAGAGCCAATGCGGGCCACGGGCCACCGGCCACCGCACCCAGGGCCTCCTGGAAACACCTGGAGGCCAAACCACCCAGGGACCAGAGGGCAAGAAACTGGGAAAGCAGCCTGCAGAGTGAGCAAGAAAACATGGAGAACGGCCCCCGTCTTGGCTCACTCGGGGCGAGAGAAAGTCCGTCCCCTCCGCCAAGTGTGCGCTCTCGGGGAGCTGAGCGGCTGGGCTTCTGCTGTGTCCACAGCCAGGAATTCACAGCCAGAGGTCTCGTCCACGAACCACCTGCGTTCCGCTCCGGGAACCTTTCCTCCTTCACTGGAGGACGCTTGTTTGCGCTTTGGTTTGGTGGCATAATTCACACACCATAAAATCCAGCCTTTTAAAGTGTACAGTTCATGCCCGGCCGGTGTGGCTCAGTGGTCGGGCATCGACCCCTGCACCAAGAGGTCACCGGTTCGAGTCCCGGTCAGGGCACATGCCCAGGTTGTGGGCCCAGTCCCCAGTGCGGGGCATGCAGGCCAGTCGACTTTGTTTCTCATCGATGTTTCTCTCTTTCTCTCCCTCTCCTTTCCTCTCTCTCTAAATATCAGTAAAAGAAAAAAAAAATGTTTTTAAAGGAGGCCCCTTTCTCACACGCTTGATTAGGAAAGACTGAGAGACGGACCGGCCCTGTGCCAGGGCGATGCTGCCCAGTTACATGCAGGAATGTGCCCTACAGAGACTCCCCAGTGGGAACGGGAGCCCACGTGAAGGGTGTCTCATTGCCGTATGGTTTCTAAAGGCAAAAACTGGAACTATCCCAAATGTCCAGCAATGGGGACTGGTTGAAAATTTATGGTAAAACCTTAAAATAGAACCATGTGCTATCATTACCATGAATGATGGGCTTTCAGTTAAGTAGGGCACATTTAATCTATAGGGTTTTTTCCATTCCCACTCCAAATTCTATTTTATTAAAGGAATAAAAGAAGGAAAGTGTCGGCTGGCCCCTCTGTGCCCAAGGACAGAGAAGATGAGAGGAGGAACAGCGGCAGGGGACAGAGCCAGCAGAGGGAGGAGCGACGAGTCTTCCACCTGCCGCCCGGGCCAAGGAGAAGCAAGACCTGTGTGCCTCAGAACGAAGGTTCCAGGCACCGAGTGTAAGGCTGAGGGCTGAGGCTGTCAACAGGAAACAGGGTGCAAAGTCTGTTTTAAAAGCAGTTGGAACCCCAGCCCTCCAGCGGTCACCCTAGCAGGAGACTGTCTCTTTAGAGAAACCGGCAGCATGGAGCCCAGGGGTAAATAGAGGAGGCTGAAGAGGAGGGTGTTATTTCAACAGCCCACACCCCAGCCCCCCCCACACACAATACACACAAAACCACACAGTAAATATAAAGGGGCCCTTCAAGGTTAAGATATGAGGATACAAATTATGAACATTCAACAGACCATCTGGAAGATGAAGAAATCAATAAAAATAAGAAAAGGCAAGGTAAGAAACTAAAAGGATAAAATGAAAAGGTCCAACATCCAATCAGGGTACCAATAAAAGAGAATAGAGAAAATGGGGGGGGGGGTTAATTAAAGAAATAATACAAAAAGGTTCCCAGAACTAAAAGAAGGGTTTCCCAAATGAACTGGCTGACTAAGCAAGTGCCAGCACAGTGGAGGGAAAAACAGACCCCACTGCAAATCACTATCATGGACCTAGAGAGGAAGAGAGGTCCTTCAGGCTCCTACAGAGGGGGATGAGAATGACACTGGCTTTCTCAAAAGCAACCCTGGATGCTGGCAGACAATGGGACAGTGTCCTCAAAATTCTGAAGAAAAGTAATTTCCAACCAAGAGTTACATACCCAAACAGACTAAGTTAACCAAACATGAGATGAGAATAAAGATGTTTACAGATATGAATTCCCCTCCAATGGAAGCCACTGGAGAATATGTTCCATCATAATGTGGGAGTAAACCAAGAAAGAGCAAATCAGAAGAGGACACAGGAAACAGAAGAGAGGCAAAGATATTGCCCGGATAGTGGAAGAGGAAGATTCCAGCATGACCTAGAGAACACGTCGAGATTGGAGCAGGAAGACAGAGTGATCTGTCCACAAACAAGCAAAAGCACAGAAAGGCTAGGTCAGCTGGTGCAATTGGCCCCATTTAAAGGGCCTTTTATCTCTGCTAGAGACATAGGCGGATAGAGTCATAAACACTACAAAGAAAATTGAGAAGATAAAAAGACATGGCAATGACTAACTCCAGGAAAAACAAAAGCTTGTGTAAAGAAATAATCATAGACCCCTGCGTAGCTTATCTTTGAACAATATTTACATAGTCACGATCAAGTCAATACTGAATGCCAATCTAACCAAAAACTGTAATACAACTGTTTCAGGAGAACCGAAAGTGAGAAAACATGTGAGTTGGTTGTCGGACAGTTTCAGGTACGGTAATAACAGCATTAAATCCCCATCTACTCTATTAGGAAGCTGGTGGACAACATCAGAAATTGGAAAGTCAAAGAACAGGAGCGTACACACATTTTTTCGAGACATTAAGAAAATGAACAGAAGAAACAGCTGAAAGAGTAGAAAATGATCAAATCTAAAGAAAGGGGGTTGGAGATGGGGAGGCATAGGGCAATGACACTGGTTTGGTTTTGTCTGTTTGTTTTTCATTATAATTCTTATAATCCTGTTTAACTTAAAAGTATGTACATGTGTAACTTGGATAAAAAATAAAATTCATTAATTTTGAAAAGCAAATCCACCCATTCTGACACGGAAAGAGCAAAGCGAAAGGTCCGCAGTGATGTAAATAGCAAGGTCGGCAGTGAGGTAAATAGCAAGATTCCACCCGGGTTGGGTTGCTAAGCATTCCACACACAGCAATAAATGCAGACGCATCTGGAAAAGGACACACAGAACTATTAACAGTGAACATCCCAGAGGACAGGGCTGGGACAGGGGGATGGTGGGCATGAGATTTTAGAATACTTGTACTCCTTCAGTCTGTGTACTTTGATTTTTTAACAGCAAGCATGTGTTACTTTCTCAATTGAAACTACTTTTAAAAATTCATCCTCCAGAAACCTGTTTGGGGTTACTCTCTTTTTCTAAATTAATTGTATTGCTGCCTACGTATGTTTAACCTAACTAGTCCAGTTAGCTAACTAGTCCAGTTCAGAAACACGGGGAGATGCTGGACTATTTCTCCTCTCTTTTCTGCCCGGGTCTGATGCCTCCATCCGAATTCTGCATCCACCAAGCATACAGAAACTTGAGCCCAAACAGACCCCAAAGCTCACTGCTACCCTAAGCACCGACCCCATTCAGTGTCAAACAGAAACAGTCACTTGGTCATCCTGGTCCCTGCAGCTCGGCAGGGCAATGATGAGACCCGCCCTGCAGATGAAAGTTCTAGCATCAGCAGAGCCCACCCCAGTCCTTACCTAGCTGCCACTTCTGGGAACACATGGTCTCCATCATCCAGATGGGCAGGGCCGGCTCCAGCATGGCGATCGCCATGTTGGCGAAGCAGATGGACCCTTCAAGAGAGCAGAGCGTTAGTGTGCTCTGGGTTGGATCGCGAGGGTCCCTTAACCACTTCCAGACACAGTTACACCCCTCGGGCCCACAGCCAGAACCATCGGCTTGGATACCAGAGCATCTCCTGCTTTGTGAGAAGAAAATAACAGATCAAGGGGATAGCGAAGGGTGTTGGATTAGTAGTAGTAGTAGTACTATTTAAATAACTAGAGTCCCGGAGCCATAGAGTTTGGAACTGGAGGGAGCCTTTGAGATCCTTTGGTTTAACTTTCCTGATTTGTTAACAAAGAGAGGGAGTTCCAATTTATTAACGATGTAACTTGCTTGAGGTCACACAGCTTAAGCCACTTCCAGACCACACACAGACCTGGGCAACCTGCAGCTCCTAAGTCTTACTGTGCAATGAACATGCTGCTTCTAATGATACCCTGGGATGCCCCCAAATCCAGGGTATTCAGTACACACGTGCTGTTGTCGGATTTTTTTTTTTTTAAATCAACTATGCATATAGGGTCTCTTTGCAAATGCCCATTATCACTCTGATAAACAGAACCCTTTGTAAACGCAGAACCATCTGGGAAAAGACACGCGGAACTGTTGCCATCATTCTGGGAGCTTCCTGTGCTCTCCCGTGGAACCTCTAATTTGCTAAAATCTTGATTGAAGAACAGTGTGCAATCATGATTAAGGTGCTTACATCAGGAAGACAGATTCTTTTCTTTCTTTGTGACATTTAAAGGCAGAAAACAGAAATGATGCTGAAATGACTGGACTCCCCTGACCCACCTGTTCTGTGTTGTCTTTGATTCTGTGTTTGCCTATTTCACGTACGTTCATTACAGGGCAAACTAACTGCCAACACCGTTTACCTCTCCCCTGCGATCCAGAGCCCACACTGTGAACCCCTCATTATCTAGCTCTGATGCACCAAACAAATATCCCCCCTCCCCTAAATCCACTCTGGGCAGGAACCAGGCAACCTGGACAGCCCCAAAGGCTGCCGAAGTATTTAGATTAGCCCAAACTATGCTGTTTGCCCTGCGCTGCCGGGCCATTCCCATGGAAATGCCAGTAAATCTCAGGCCTAGACCTCCCTCTGCCGCCTCTGCCTCCTGCCCACACCTGGTGCTTCCCTGCATGACCTGAGTGACATGGAATGCCCCTTTTCCTTGGGACACATAATAAAATCTTCTTTCAGTGGTATTGTCCTGTCCATGTCATCAGTACCCTCCAAATCCCATTGACACAAATGAGACACCACCTGGCCCCCGAGTCCCCCGGTTGAGGCTGCCTGGACCTGCTTGCTGACGGGCTGACATTCGGTGCTGGGTGCATCTCTGCATGTCCCTCCACAAACAGGGACGAGACAGTGAAGGTCCAAGAAAGGCAGAGGCAGGAGGGGCCCAGGCTGCTCAGCCTGCCCAGGTGTCTGCCCCAAGGTGTGGGAGTCACATCTCCGGGCCCCCATCTCTCCCCATACATCCCATCCCACCTGGGACAGCCTGGGCCCCCAGGGCACCTGGGCTCTGGAACGCTCCCTGCACCGTCGGGGACACAGAGCGGCTTGCCTGCGTGAAGAGCTCACCACACCGGGTTCACAACCCTTTGGCCAACAGGCAGGACGAACAGGACCTACACCTGGGTTACACAGGTGCCACCCTGACCAAACCCTGCAGCAGAAGCTGAAACAAAACCAGCCTGGGGTTTTGAAAAAGGCAGAATTTGAATGCCCTCAGGCAGGGCACGCGCCCACTCCCCCGGGCTCCCCCAGGCTCCCGCGTGTTCGTGACTCCTGCTTAGACAAACCCAACCCTAACTGGAGAGAACCCTAGCTGGGTCTGAAGCCACATGCCAGCGCTGCCCTCCCCCCGCCGGACCCCGAGGGCCGCTGCTGACCACAGTATCCAGGCTCGGGCAGCATAAGGCAGCCCCAGGCCTGTGTCACTGGGATCATCTTGAGGGGACAGTCCTTTGGATAAACGCTGCCATGATCCTCCCCAAGAGCCATGGAACCCGGGGCTTCCTTTGTGCCCATCTCAGCAGGAACCCAAAGGCTCAAGATTCTGCAGCCACAGGGTGTTTCCGGCGGGCCTCTCCGTGTGCGCAGCACGCCCTCCCGGGAAGGCAGGCCCTCTGGGCCCTCTGGGGCTTCCCTGTTGGTGTCTATTCTTGTGCGCCGATGTGAATCAGACCCCCGGCCAAGATGCCTGCAGTGGGGCCACAGACTCCTTCTGGAAGTTCCAGGCCAAACAGTGGCCTTTGCCACAAACCCGCTGAGCAAGCTTGACCCCAAACCAACCGCTGTGGCTGGGCATCTCTGTGACAAAGACATCTCTGCCCCCATGAGAAACCACAGGAAGCCGGCTGAGTGTCAGAAATGAACCCATTTCTCCTGATGTGTAACCTCCTCGCGCCTTTTATGTTTTTCTACAGCCCATTTCCAGCCCCAAAATGAACACTGTCCTCGCCACCCCCCCACCCAGGGCTGAGAAGGACCAGGGGCTGGGGTGGCACCACCTGCAGCGATGAGGATGTAGGGGTCCCTCAGCAGGGTGGTCAGCGGTGTCCCCTTCTGGCTCTGTAAGGAAAACAGGGGTCAGAAGAGCCCGCGAGGCCAGTGCACGCCCCCTCTCCCTGCCGCTCACCTCCGGCTGCACCCGAGATGGCTGGAGCACGCACAGCTGAATAGCTACGAGGGAAAAACAAGAGGTGTGGCTCCAGCCCATCGGCATGTATGCCCAGGTCCAGGTCCCGGCCAAGGTCCCCGCGTGCACTCACCTCCATCCAGGAGCACCAGGGCAGCCAGCACCAGGAAGGGAGCGGTCTTCCCCACAAACTCGTACAGCACACTCCCAAAGGGGGGGCCCACTGCAGAGAAGAGAGAGCGAGCCATGCCAGGCCCTGCGGCCTACACCCCAACCCACTCGGACCCTCCACTGGTGTCTTGTGCTTCACTCTCTGTTTCGTTCTAAAAGCTATTTGAGGGGGCCACCCCTCGTGACATCAGTCCTGTTAAGTTGCCCTGGCTACTTCCTCCGAGCGGTTTTACATCTGGTACCCGGGCGACAGACTCCAAGGGTCACCCCACAGTAAGGATCAGAGGAAACAAGATCCAGGATACTGAAGGAGCGCAGGAATCTGTGAGCGAGGACTCCACTCCCCACACACCAGCACAGGCAGGACTGCGGGCGCCCAAAGGCAGGCCGGGAAAGGAACAGAGACGCGGAGAGGACCTGGATCTCCTCTTGGTCTGGGAGGCCAGGCAGGGAGGTGGGGAGGCCCCGCCGACGTTAACGCAGAGAGCGTGGGAGAGGAGAGGACCCCAGCAGACCGTGCCGGCCAAACCTGCCTTTACCTCTGGGCTCAGGAGGTCTGGGGTCAGTTTCCCAAGTTTCCCCAGCAAGTTAGGTGGTACCAGAAGGGGGATCCCAGGGTGTCCCGTGTCAGGAAGGCTCCACCACTTTTCAAAGCCTCCACGGAAGTAGGGGCCAGACAGGGGACAGCCAAGGGAACCCCTTAGAGCCGGTGGAACCAGGGAGGAGGGGTGTCACTCTCCAGCTCCAGACAGGCTCCCAGTGCCCCTCCTCAGGGACTTACTCACCTAAGACCCCCATGGCCAGGCCTCCCAGGGCAACCCCCATGGCGTTGCCTCTCTCTTCGTCATCTGTGTACACGCTGGCGAGCATGCCCATCCCTAAACAGGGAAAGACAGGTGGACAGCCGAGCTCTGGGAGCACCTCAATAATTATCCGCGACTCGCCTCCCTCCCCAACCCAGACCTGTGAGCTTCCCAAACTCATCAGATTAATGAAGATATAAGACCAAGAAGAATCCAACAAGGAGGCGGGGACCCATCCCAGGCACCTGATGTCCTAAGTCACCCAGCTAGTGACGGAGGGGCCCGGCGAGCAGGGCCCTGCTGGCGGCCCCTCCGACAGACAGACTGAAGACCCTGGGCACCGGAGTACTCAGGCATCTCCGCACCTACCAGCCACAGACGAGCAGGAGGAGCCGATGCCCTGCAGGGACCTGGCGGTCAGCAGGAGGGCGTAGCTGCGGGAGAAGGCGAACACTGCCCAGAGAGGGCCGCCCGGTCAGGCAGGCGGCGGACTCTGAGCAACCAAGTCCACCAGAGGCGCTTCGGAGCCCTTACCCCGATGCTTTATTTCCCTACTGACCACATTGCATTTCTGCCCCCAAAGACCCGCCCCTCCCCCGTCAACTTCTTCCTGCAGTTTTGCCAATACTCCCGCCCCCACCCCAGGTCAATGGTCGATTCCCCACTCGTTCTTGGCCGTCAGAGCCCACCCGTGGCCCACGCGCAGGGCGCACATGGCACACTTACTGATGGTGGAGATGAACATGATGCAGAATCCCGCGAACATCGGAATGGGGTAGCCGATTCTGCAAGACAAAGCCCCGGGGGGAATCGGGCTCGGCCTCCTGTTTTCTCAGGGCTTCGCCCCAACCTCTCCTGCTACCCCTCTGGGATCCACGGGTTAGACGGTCCCGGCGCCGGTCCTCAGCACTCACGCCGCGGCGCTTCCTGCCTGACCTTTCTGTGTTTGCCGCCTTAGACTGTGAGCACACTTACGGACTGCCACTCTGAACAGGAATCTCCCAGGAACAAATGTCAACACAGTACTGCCAAGCAACCGAGAACCCGGCCGACATATACAGCCCGTATCCATCATTTTTTTTAATTACTGTTTTTTTAATTATAGCCTCTGCTGGAGCTTCGGCCAAAGGGACAATGGCAATTGAGTGATTCTCATAAGAGGTCATCAAGGGGATGCGACCGCCAGAGACCACGGCACCGCCTGAGACCTCGGGTCGGCCTCGGGAGGTCAGCCTAGAAAGACAGGCCTCGTTTTCCGTGCAAATATTCAACACCCCAATTGCTCCGTAAGGCCGTTGCCCAGACAGGGCTCTGCCACCAGACGGATGGGATGGTGGGAAGACCCTGGCTGGACACCTGGCCCTGCCGCTTAACCTCACAAGTGCCCCCGCCCCCCACCCCACCCCCCACACTCCCCAGCCTACCCTCCAGCCCCCCAGAGAGACCTCCGCCGCCCCCTCCCAGAACTGCTCAGTATGTGATGAAATATGATGAAATGCTGCCTCCGAAACCGTGTCTCTTCGCTCATTCTCTTCCTTCTTTCCTGTCCGTGTCTGCTCATTAAGCGGACAGCTGGGCCCCTGCCCTCTGGGTGGGGCATGAGGGCGAAGGCGGCTTCCGAGTCCCCTGCCCTCCGGGAGGTCTGCAGTAGCCCAGGACAGCTGTGAGCATCTCCAGGCCTCGTCCCCCTCTGGCCCTGCATCCTAGACCAAAAATCCTGCAACCCAGCCACTCGGCCCGCAAGGGCTCTTCTCCTCCAGGCTTGGCAAGAAACCGTCATATCAACCACCCACTTCTCCGAGCACTGACACGGGCAGCTGGATGATTTTACAAGGGCAGCAACCACCTCCTCACTTCACGTGCGGGGAAACTCAGGCACAAGCAAGTCACTTGCTGAATGTCCTGTGGCTTAGTTCACCCTGGGCCATGCCGTCCACCCAGGGCTCTGCTTTCACATGCTCCCGCCTCCTCAGGTAGCCAAAGGGCCTGTTGTATTTTATGTGACTTAAAATACAACATTTCCGACAGGTCTCCTGGTTGTACTCTTTTTTTTCCCATTGTTTCATGTGCACCCCAAATCATAACAGGTTCCCTAGCAGCACCCCTCCCGCACGTCCACGCAGATTCCCCTGTGACCTGAGACGAGCTTGTAATTCACAAAGAAGGGCTCATGGCCACCAGGGACCAGGGGAGACGCTGGGGCTCCGGACTGCCGTCCAGACAGCCATCAAAGGGCAGCTGCTCTTGTGTCAATCAGCCCAGAGCTGACAGCTCTGTGCTTGCTGTCCACGTAGGCAGAGGGGACCCGTTCACAACCCCCGGCCCGCGGGGAACTGAACGGGAAACTCCCAGAGCTCACAGAGGAGCGCAGGCAGGCAGTCCATGTTTCTCAGCAGCCACTGAAGTCCCAGGGGAAGAACGGACATAAAGCATGACGATACTTGCAGCTGCCCCAGAATAAACGCGGGATCCTCACCATCCCTACACGCTTCAAAGCTGTTGGAACACCAGTGATCCTTACGCCCGGTCTGCAGCCCGGCCACTGGCCCAGGTCGCCTGGCAGGACACAGCTGGGGTGGGCTCCTTCGCCCCAGGAGGCCCGGCCTTCCCTGAGACAGTCAGTAGGGAACTAGTCACCTGTGACTCTCGTCGCGGTTTCTCGAGGTAGCTAGTTTTATTCCCGTTTAAACTCACAGTGAGGCTCAGTGAAGTTAAGTAACTTGCCCCCAGTTGAAGGCACTGAGCATATCTCCCGCATCTGAGGGGTGCCAGGTCCTGCGAGTGAACACTTTGGTGGGGACGCTAGTGGCAGGAGCACGGGGTCACACACGGTGAGTGGAACAGAAGGTCCACAGTTTCACTGGAAACCAGATGGCTCTGTACCCGCGGGGCTCTGTGCTCACGGAGGATTCTCTTGACCAAGCCCAGGGGCTGTGTTTCCTTAAAAATACCACAGCTACTACTTTAAATTCCTTTGGGATGTCATAAAGCATGTATGGGGTAACCAAATGGCCAATTTGGAAGGACACTCCAAGGCTGGCCAGTCCGACCCCTCGTCTTGGATGAGGAAGCGAGGTTCAGACATGGCGTGGCTCACCCACAGTCACAGAGCGAGCCAACCCCTTCAGATACCAGGGGGCTCATGCTGCTTCCTTCTCACTCCTGGCCCGTGTGCCCTGCACCTCCAGTGTTGGTCAAGCCACTGGCAGGGCCGCCCTGTGGGACGCACTGGGCAGCCTTTCTCCACAGCTCGTCCCCGACACAGAGACACTCCTGGATGTCCACCAACCTCCCCCAGCCCTCTGACACCCGCCTCAGGAAGACAGTCATCCAAGGCCCCAGGGTCACTGAGCGATGGGCAGATCTCCAATGCCCTTCCTCCTTCCCCCATAATGTCTCCTAAATGATCAGGACTTCAACTGCCATTAGTCATAAACATCTGAGTCGCCTCTCATCTCGATTCAATGCCATCTCAATTATAGCACTGCTAGGCAGAGCTAGACCTGATGTGGCAAACCTTTAACCAGATATCCCTTATCGCCCCTGGTGAGTCATCTCTGCCACAGTCATCCACAGAGCATCAGGGAGCCGCTAATCCAAGGGGAAGAAGACTAAGGTCACATATGGAAGCCCTAGGAATACGTGCAAACAGTCAAGTTGTACTCATTATATAGACCCCTACAGGGTCAGTGAGAAACCTCAGATTTCCTGATTCATCACTGACAAGCAACACTCTCTCTTTTTTTTTTTGTGGTATGTGCCCCTAGCGGGAACCGAACTCGGGACTTTCTGGTCTGCAGGCCGACGCTCAACCGCTGAACCAAACTGGCCAGGGCGCAACACTTTTGAATGCTACTGACTAGTTTGCCTTTGCCATAGAGACTACACAAACGCCATTCTCAGGCTCGTTAGACCTTGGTCCAACCTGAGCAGTAAGTGACAAAGGAAGGACTCACAGTAGGATACAAATTATCACCAGAAGAGATAAGAGGCGACATCTCCTTTTTCAATGATCCCAGTACACTCCTAAAAAGTGATTGCGTGGGTGAACATCAGTAAATGGAATGATCATTTAAATTCACAGGATACACCGGGAAGCTGAGTGTCAATCATTTTGTGAATAAAACCAACGTCTCAGCTTCAGCCTGTGGGCCTGTCTTTTTCAGCTATCACCTGCGTGCAGGGAGTTCCGTGAGCCATGGACCTCCTACTCTCCCAGGTGACCCCTGCTCCCCGACACACAGCTCAGGTGGGGGGCTTTGCACCCAGGACAGACACCCAATTCCACGGCCAGCTTCTTCTGCTTTCAGAAGCGAAGGCTCCACCACCCCATCCAACCAGCCCTAGGCCCGAGGCTCCCTGTCCGCAACGGCAGCTGAAAAGGTCACTGCTTATTCCTACGAAGCCCACTTCAGACCAGCTGGCTGAAGCCAGGGGGAAAAAATAACCACAGCAGATTTCGGAGAGAGTCTGTGCCCTGCGGCTTCCTCCTTGTTCAGATGTTAACTACAATTTGTGAGGGCAAATAACCAACCGGCTTTCAAATATACCAGGTAACTATGGAAATCAATTAAGCCACTGTCGCCGGCTTGATGAAAAGCAGACCACTGAGACACTGACAAGCGAAGGAGGGAGGCCCTGGAGCTGCCCCGGCACCCAGAGTTAACCCTTTCCCTCCCCACCCAGTTCATTTGGAATGACTTTCCGTTCTCAAGATGCAACTGCTATGTACTCCTCCTGCTGAGCAGGGGAAGACCACACGGCCATGTTCTTAGCCTGACTTGTGGACAGAGACATGGAAAGGTGTTTTTACATTGGGTACCTGCCTGGAGCACTCCTTTTATGTGTGTGCATGTCTAAAATCCACTTGCTGGGCCAAATGACAACAGGTGCTGCTAATATAAGTCCTTCTACTACCTCCTTTTACACACGAGGTGGTCACGAGATAAACTGGAATTATAAAATAAGTCACACGCGCCTCAAAGATGGAAATCGAGTCACCCAAAGCACCCGCAAGCTCTAGAGAGTGTTACTGGATATGTGATCGCTACGCCTGCCAAAATCAAAGGTCCTTTGCTCCCTACAGGGTCATGTATTTTTCCGTAAAAATATGGTACCGGAAGTGTAAGTCCAAGAGAAATGACTTGTATTTAATTAGCGGCCAGATGAACACTTAACATGCTTCCCAAGAACTGTAACTTTTTTCTTTTCAGTGTTTGCCGTGCGAACTTCTCCGATATGTAAAACGACAGACAGGCGGCCGGCCTCTTGTATCAGCCACCCACAAAAGCCACTCACGAGCAGCATCATGAATATGGGGTCCTGGATGTCATATGGGAGATCGGGCTGTGACGTGTTAAATGGGGGGGGGGTCTCATTTCACAGTGGGTCCTGCTTACATGGAGCAGCTTGGAAAAGGCGTGCTTCCAAGCTTCCTGTTTCTAGGTGGCTCCCCCCATGTCCTTGGGGGTGCAGAAGGCTTCCCTTATCTCCTCTGTCAGAAGCACTGCAGAGATGCTAAGAAGCTAGAACAGCTCATGTCAGTGGCTGGAAAAAGATTTTTTTTTTTATGTCCAAAAAACCAGGCTTTTTTTTTCTGGACTCCCTGCCACTGATTACAACTAGCAACCAACAACTCGCTGTTTGGCCCTTTACGAGTTCAGCCTGGTACTACCAGAGAGAACCCAAGTGGATTCAAGAAAGACAGATTTTGACTTGCATTATTGATTTTTTAGTAGCCAAATGTACAAACCGGGGGGAGGGAGGGAGGAAGACCCCTGGACACATCTGGACCCTGGCTCTAGTCCTATAGCTGTGTGAGCAAACACATTCTCCTGAACGGCCAGCTCCGTCACCTAGAAGATCCTGGTACTGGCCCAAACCCTTTGCTCAAGTCTCTTCAAGCTCTGCAGCTCCAGGCTTTTAACTACTCTTCAAACAGAAACATATTAACCAGATGTAAAATGCTGCTTTAAACACACTTGTTTACAGCACTGAAAACACGAATCACACATCTTCTTGGTAATTGAGGATGTGATTGGCACAAATTACACCAAAGACTATTAGCAACGGCTCACAAGGAAGAGTCTGTAAAGGAAAATAGAACGTGTTTATCGCTTCTCTGAGCAGAGCCAGGGAGTGCCCAGAAATGCTGCGAGTCCACAGATTCAGGTCTATGGAGCTTGGAAAATACTGGAAAAATTACAAATCATGATCATCTTTGGAGGGACAGAGGTCGCCCAATTATTCTGCCAACACCAATAGTCAGATGTATTTGTATTTGCCACGTGACAAGGTAACACTTAAAAGATGGTTATTTTGAAATTTGCTTGGAAGCTGGGGGAACCAGTTAGGGCTTAAAATTTTGCTGTAGATAAATTTCAACGTGGATTATTCACCATAAAAATAGACTACATGTTACAGGTCACAGAACAAAATTAGGTTTCTCTTGGAAGACCTTTGTTTTTCAGAGCCCTGAACAGGAGTCTTGGGTGGCTGCAAGTCAAAGCATTCGGAGTCTTTAACACAGAGGAAAGGTCTCACTGGCTGTAAACAGCTTCTTCCTCGTGGAGTAAACAAAGCATTCAGAACAAGAACAGGACTTTTTTAAAGCTCGTCATTTGCCACTTGCATTTGAAAGATTGGAATACTCACTTAGGCTGCGTTTTGAAGTATTACGCCATATAGCTAATGACATTCACGTCCAATGCAACAGTAAGGCATCGTTATAATAATGTCCTTAATTTTTCCATATGGCATTTGAGCTGTTTGCTTGCTCGGAAGACAAAACCCTGAGCCATTTTCTGTAATTATACCAGATGCATTTTTTAAAAAAATCCTCACCCAAGGATATGTTTCTATTGATTTGAGAGAAACAGAAAGGGAGAGAGAAACATTGAAGTGAAAGAAACATCGATTGGTTGACTCTCGCACGCACCCCAACTGGGGATCTAACCTGCAACCCATGCATGAGCCTTGACCAGGAATGGAACCCGTAACCGTCAGGTCTATGTGCAGCGCCCCAACCAACTGAGCCACCCGGCCCGAGCTGCCAGATGCAGTTTAAGAAGGGCTCTTGGTCTTGAAGAAAGGAAGAAAGCCACCTGCAAATACTGAGGACTGGTCTTTCCTCCTGAGGAACAGAGGCGTCCTGAATGTCACTTGCCAGTGGTGCTTCCTGGTGGCCTCACAGTCAGGCCGTCATCGCGGAGTTAATTTGCTTAGCACACTTTACGTGGCAGCTTCATAACATTGCTGCACACAGACGGGACAGCTGGACGGGGCTTAGGATTGTTCCACTTGACTCAACAGCACTACTCAGTCCAGAAAACCAAACGGCAAAAGTTTAAAATGTGCTTCCGTCCAACTCTCCGTGGGCACGTCACCTGGGGCCTCCGTGTGTCTGAGGGCAGCTTGTGCTGGGGGAAGGCCGATCTCTGTACTCTCTCCTCTCCTGGACCCCCGCCCCAGAGTGGCCCCGGGCCCTCGGTCACACAGGGCCCCACTCTGAGAAGAGTCCCAGGCTGGCTTTGATGCCTGTTGTTGCCCTCTTGAAATGCTTAATGATCATTTTGCAAAGGACCCTGCTGGTCCTTCCCCGCCTTCCCTAGGTCAAACCCTGGGCACATGTAAAGACCTCCCTGTTCCCAGCCTACACTGGGTGCTGGGTAGACCTGCTTAAAATGGACTGGGCTTGCTGACCCTTCAACTTGGCTTTGCAACCTCTAATGGCTTCCAAGCAGCCCCACAATAAAAACCCCACTCCTTCCTCAGCCCAGCACTTGGGGACTTTTATAGACTACCCCTCCCGTTCCCCCTGCTCTGCCCTCCCTAGTTCACACCCCTTTGCCCCTTCCAACCGCCTCACTCCATCCTCTTTTCCATCTCTAGTCTTTGCCTTTGTTCACACTTCTAGGCCTGGGCACAGGTAGGGTTCTGGCACGTCCTCCTCTGCCGTGGTTTGGCACACCTGCCTCCTTGGCTCCACTGTGTGTGTGGCAGCCCACCACCACTCTGCTGCACCGGCTCCCTCCTTGCAGCTGGCACCCCGCTGCTGCCAGCCCTGGCCTACCCTCTGAGCCCCAGGGACCAGGCAGAGCTGGGCCACCTCCACTGCAGAGGACAGAGACCTGCTGGGAGGCCACCTCAAGGGACATGAGAACAAGTGTTCAAAATAACGGGGGGTCCAAAGAAGTCCAGAACATCTAGGTTCACATAAAGCCAGTTTGGGCATTACTGGGGGCATTATTAGCCAGTTTGCATTATGCAGAAGACAGCCTCAGTTCCCTTCCCGGTGTGCAGGTGGGCACAGCTCGGTAACTGGCGGGGGATGCACCTGTTACACTGCCATGCCAGAAGGACTCATCTCTTCCCACACCCCCACCAGCCGTCTACCTGGGCCTTCACCTAGCCAGCTCTAGAGACGCCCCCTGGGTTTCTAAGAGGACACACGGCACCGCAGGTGGAAGAAAACATTGCACAGCCCGAAAACCTGATGACGGAATCCGGCACTGAGACAGATCAAAGTTCTCCCATGTGGGGAGGGCCTCTGGCTGGTGTTTTAATATTTCCTTACTTTCTAAGCAGCAGGGGTAGCAATGAAAGGCAGATTAAGTGGGAAATCATAATTAACTATGAACAGAAACCCAAGGGGAAGGGATTGGACTGTTTTCCCCTGCTCACCTTCCACTGGTTCCCAGATTCTGCTAAATGAATGAGAAACAGAATCCCGGGGGGGAAATGATCCCGGAACAACATAAATATAAAACTCTTTGGCCAAAATAGTGAAGCCTACCTGTTGGTCAGCAGGCCAATGAATGGGTTGGTGAGGAGCTGGACCGTGGCCTTGGAGGCGAACAGCAGGCCCACTTGCACGTTTTCATTCAGCAGGTCTTTGTCTTTGCTGGGACAGTCGGAAGGGGCAACAGACATGTTAGTCACCATGGCCTTCGGCAGCAGCCCCCTCTGAAGGTCTCTGGTGGTGTTCCCGGTGACCATGGTGGAGTTGTCATAATAGGAGAAGATGTTCTGGAAGCTGCCCGAGGTGGAGGCTGGGAACACTGGCGTGGCGGTCGGGACTTCAGATGCATTTTTCTCATGCTCGATGCTGTACAGGTAACTCGGGATGATGGGCACTGGGGTCAAGAGCAGAACAGGAAGGCAGTGATTGCACCGAAACCCTCCCTGGGACAAAGGCCAAAAACGATGGTCACATCAAAGGCCAAACAAGACGCAGAGAGGTGGTGTCTACCCCAGGGGCGCCCCACCCCACCCCGCCCACACCAACAATGGAACACTTCCACTCTGCTTAGCTCCCTACAGAGAACCCCAGGAGGCTGAGAAAGTTCCGTCTGCTCTCGGGGCCAGTTACTGTGCAGAACGGACTGGCCAGCTGCACTGAATCCTGGACTTCGAGAGGGTGTCTCATTCCAGGGCTCCTTCACAGGAATATTTTAGGAGAGCAAAACTTGGTCGGAGATGGATTCCGTGCTGACCCAGGGTCAACCAGGGCTTCTCTGAAAGAGGCTGGAGAGACCTTTGCTTGAACGAATCAAGGAAGCAGAAACCTAAATTCCACTGTGTCACAGAACAACTAGAGCTGCAACAACTAGGAAGCAATGATCTGGGAGTCCTGCAACAGGCCCACGTCAGCTCTCTATTTCTTGCGTGGGAACCAGCAAGTTTTCATCCTATCTGGAACACATGAGAACTTCTGAGACCGTCGTAAAGGAAAAGAAAATCCTTTTGTTGCAACAGAAGCTTTGGGCATGTGTGTAACAGTAGACCATTCAACACAAAGGAGCCGGAGGCCCCTGTTCCTGAACTCCCTGCACCTCACGTCTCCGATCACCCTTGAGGTGAAACCCTGATTATGTGACGCTCTGAAACTCTCGAGAGAATCTGCAAATGGAGGGAGGGAAGATGAGCCCCCTAGACAGTCAAAATAAAAAATCTTTTCTTTTCCTCATTAAAAATGTGGATTTTTTAAATTAATTAATTAATTTATTTTTGTTACAGATGGTTCTTCTCCCCACCCCCCCACTGATTCCCCCCTTCCTCTCCCTCCCCGCCCTGTCCCCAGCTTTGTTGTCCATGTCCATTGTTCATGCATACATGCATATAAATTCTGTGGATTATCTCTCCCCCACCACCCCCTCTTCTGGGGATTGTCAGTCGGTACCCCACTTCCACGTCTCTGGGACTACCCCGTTCCTCAGATTGTTATGTTCATTATATTCCACAAATGTGGATATGTTTAAGGAAAAGCATGCCAAAGACTTTGCTGTTAACAGGGCTAATTAAGAGACCATTATAGGAAAAAAGGCTCAAACGAACACTTTTCCAATCGCTCTTGAAATGTTTCCATCTCGAGTCATTCAAGGATACAAAATATTGAAATGTCACTTCCCTTTTCCGAGGGAGGGATGTTTACTTCGTTCCTTTAGATGTGACACCAAATTATGAACCCCCCTTTTTGGGTAGCATAAGTCTGATGGCGTTACTCTGAACTCTGGGAATTGCTGGTTCTTAAGAGAAATCTCTCTCGTTGCCGTGAAAGTGGGTAGAGGGAAGCTGGAAATTATCAGGAGGAAACACAAGTTCTAGGTTTTAGCGGATGTCACATTTTTGACCTGACCACCAGGAAAACGAAGCCACAGACGCGGCTCTTGCTGGCCGGGCGTGGCCGTCGTAGGGGAGGTGTTTGTGCAAAGCGTGTTCTCCAACTTCGCCAGGCAGAGCTCCAGGCCGCCTCGGGGAGCGGGGCCCGGGAGAAGGGGGTGGGCAGCGGGCGTGCAGCGCAGGCTGTACTCACCCACGACCGTGAGCAGCATGTTGTCCAGGAGCAGCGCGAGGAACACGATGAACAGGATGAGCTTCCGGGAGTGACGGCCGTCCCGCAGCCGGCGGAGCGGCGCCAGCTCGCTCAGGGCCATGGCCGGGCTGGTCCGCGGCGGCCGGGCTGCCCGCGCTCCGCGCTCACACTTCCCCGGCGCGGGGGCGGGGGCGGCGGGTCTCCGGCGTCCCACCCGCGCTCACCTGCAGCGAGCTCCTCGCTCTCCCGGGCACCTGGCGAATGATGTCCTCCCGTCCCGGGGCGCACCTGGGTCCCCCGGGGTGCTCTCCGCTGGCCGCCGCCCCAGGGTCTCGCTTCTGCTCCGCGCGCCCTGGACGTCCCGCGCCCCGGCCGCCCGGACCCCGCGCAGCCCCGCTCCCCCCGCTTTTCCCTGCGCCCCGGGGCGTTGTGCCCAGCACCGCGCCCTGCGGGCAGGAGCGGGTCGGCGTTACCTCGGGGGCTCCGGCGGCTGCCTGCGCGGGCCGCTGTGGGCTCCGTCCGTCCGGGCGCCTCCGGGTGGCAGTCTCCTAGCGCCCAGCCGCAGCCGCCCAGTTTAGCGGGTCCGGCTCTGACGTCACAGCTGGCGCGGCGTGGGGACAAGGGCCTGGGGCACGGAAGGGGCCTCCACTCCCGCCCGGCTGGCTCCGCGCCAGACACCGGGGTGCAGACTCCTCCGCCCCTGCACGTGGCGCAGCCCTAAGCTCCTGGGTCGGGGGGAGCAGCTGGGGCGCAGAGAGAAGGAAAGGCCCCCGGGGTGAAGGGTCAGAAGCCAAGATGAGGAGTTAGGGATTAGTGCTTTCATCTTTGACCCTCACTGTCCCTGAAATTGGCCCCGGAGGTAATGAAGGCTACTGAGTGACCGTGCCAGGAAACGGGGTCATGCGGTGTGGGGAGCCAGGCTCAGATCTTTCTTTCCTGGGGAAGCCACTCGGCACCCCATACCCTTCCCCTCTCCCACCTCTGGCGCCGGAGGCAGGTGCCACTTGAAGTCTTTGAGTCTCGGGTCCCTGGGTCCCCTCAAGCTGGTGATGTGGACATGGAAATGGGAGAGGGATGGACAGCTGGTTAAAGATGTGTTACACATGTGCAGTGGATACTACTCAGTCATTAAGAAAGATGAGATACTGCCATTTGCGACAACATGGATGGATCTTGACAGTATCATGCTAATGAAATAAGTCAGACGGAAAAGGGCAAGAATCTACTGATTTCATTCAAAAAGCAACAACTGAACAAACCAAAAAAAAAACCCACAACTCGGACAACTGGAAGGGAATCGGGTGGGGGAGGATGAAGAGAGTAAAGGGGGTCACATATAAGGTGAGGGAGGGAGACTACACTTGGGGTGGAGGGTATATACAGGTGATGTATTATAAAGTCGTGCACCTGAAACTTATATAATGTTATTAAAATACACCCCCCCCCCAATAAATCTAATTTAAAAAGAAAAGAAAAAAGAGGTGGTTGGCAGGAAGAATGCTTGTTTGGTGCTGTAATCCTCACTACCAAGGGGTACGGGTCCACCTTTGACTTCCAAGTCCCTCCACCTTAGCAACAGAGGAGAAGCAGACATCCTGACATATCTGGAGCTTGGAGGCTCGTCTAGGGGGGCGGGAAGAACGGGAGCTATTTTCTTGGAAAGCCACTTAGAATAAATGGCATCCTGGCATGTCTCTTAGCAGCGGAGTCCAGGCTTGATTTGTTCATGTCTGTTTGCGGTCGGCTGCAGACTTCTTAGAGCAGCAGGGTGGTATATGCTCTTCCTCCTCTCCTCTCCCCTCCCTCCCTCCCTCCCTTCCTTCCTTCCTTCCTCCCTTCCTCCCTCCCTGACACCCCCTGTGCTTCCATTGCTGCCCCTGATGTGTGAGGAAGATGGTTGGATAAGTAAGTAGGTCAACAACACGGGGACTCCGGCATGTCCCAGGATGTGTGTAACTTAAATATTAAATAGGGACGAGAGAAGGAAACCCGCGTAGGAGGAAAAGCAGATGGCGGGAGTTGTTTACGATGGCTGTGAAGACTGTCACATCCATGGGGTGCCCGAAGTACCTGAAGTTTCGGAACTCAAAGACTCAGGCCCTGCTCCCGCATCCCTGGGGCACAGAGGCATCATGGTTAAGGGCTCTGGTCAGGATGCCCGGGTCCGAGCCTGCTACTTCCTTGATCAGTGACCTTGAGGTGGTTATGTGTCCTCTCCATGCCTTAGCTTCATCATCTCTGAAATGAGGCCAGTAAGTAGACCTATTGCAGAATTGTTTCTAGGATGAAATGGGAACGCACAGGCATCCCTTAGAGAGTGAGAGCTCAGTAAGTGTCTGCCATTCATGCATTCATTCATTCAATGAGTATTTGTTGAGGGCTTGCTTGGTGCCAGGCACTGTTGATTCTGGGGAGACAGTGATGGCCCAAACAGACAGAATCCCTGTCCTCAGGGTGCTCACACACTCTGGTAGCAATGCCATAATGGTGACCACAAGAAGACACAGTGACTCCAGCACAGCAGCTGGTGGGAGTGGCCCCGGGACAATGCCAGTCACTGCGCTACCTCCACCGCCTCTCTAGAGCGCTGTGGTCTATAATGGGGTTTCGAACTTATTCACATCCCTCTAAAAGAATTTTTTAAAAATATGTATGCCTCAAACCCACCAAATGGGAGAAGATATTTGCAATCAACAGCTCTGGCAAGGGGTTTATATCCAAAATATATAAAGAACTCATACAAGTCAACATCAAACAAACAAACAATCCATTTTAAACAATGGGCGGAGGCCTGGCCCATGTGGCTCAGTGACTGAGGATCAACTCCTGCACCAAGAGGTCGCCAATTCGATTCCCGGTCAGGGCAAATGCCTAGGTTGGGGGCCAAATCCCCAGTGGGGGACATACAGGAGGCAGCTAATTGATGTTCTCGCTCATCGAAGTTTTTTTTTTTCTCTCTCTCTCCCTCTCCCTTCCTCTCTTTATCAAATCAATAAAGAATAAAAAAAATTTTTTAATAAAAATAAAAAATGGGCAGAGGACCGGAACACGCAAATGGCCAACAGATATATGAAAAGATGCTCAGCTCCACTAGCCATGAGGGAAACGCAAATCAAAACTGCAGTGAGATACGCCTCACACCTGTTAGGGTGGCTGTTATCAACAAGGCAAGTAACAAGTGTTGGAGAGGTTGTGGAGAAAAAGGAACCCTCACACATTGCTGGTGGGAATGTAAACTGGTACAGCCACTATGGAAAACAGTATGGAGGTTCTTAAAAAAAAAATTAAGAATAAAGTTACCATATGACCCAGCAATTCCTCTTCTGGGTATCTACCCGAAGAATTTGAGAACATTTGTTCGCAAAGATATATGCACCCTTGTGTTCCTTGCAGCATTGTTCACGTGACCCAGACATGGAGACGACCAAAGTGTCCTTGGACAGATGACTGGGTAAAAGGATGTGGTCCATATACACAATGGATATTACCCAGCCATAAGAAAAGGTGAAATACTGCCATTTGTGACAACTTGGATGGACCTTGAGAATATGATGCTAAGCAAAATAAGTCAGTCAGAAAAAGCTAAGAACCTTATGATTTTACTCACGTGGGATATAAAACTGGAACTCATAGACACAGACAAGAGTATGGTGGTTACAAGAAGAAGGGGTGGGGGGCAGTAAAGGGTAAAGGGGGCTAAATATATGGTATGGTAACAGAAGATGATTTGACTTTGGGTAGTGAGCACACAATGTAAAATACCAATCACATATCATCGAAATGTACACGTGAAACCTATATAGTCTTATTAATCAATGTCACCCCAATACTGCTTAAAGTAAATACATAACAATATGTATGCCTCACACATTTTGAAGTTTGCATCTAAAATGGTTTTTAATCATAAAGTAAAATCATTTGGGGCATAGCGTATGTACGGACCTAACGTGACCCAACATATTAAACCAGCATGAATTTAAGCTATAGATGGCATCCTGGCTGGTCACCTATACAGGTATGTGACTTTGGGCATGTTAGTAAACTTTTATGCGCCTCAGTTTCTCATCTGACACTCAGGCATGGTGACAGGCCCCCTCACAGAATTAAGGGGGCGAAGGCGGGGCGCGATCCTTGCATAGTGCCTGGCACATGGAGACGCTCACACTCACTTCGTGTGCTCTGGCTGTGGCAAAGCGGAAGTGCTGAGCACACGAAAGGTGCAGTTGGTCCATGGGGAAAAGCCTCAGGTGTCCCCCTCGGCAGAGAACTTGGATATAAGGAAAACAAATGTGTCACCTAGGCATTAAGCTGTGAAATGCAAATAATGGGTTAGAGCAGAAATGAACAAAGACATCCTGGGGAGACACAGTGGCTCCTGGGCTGACCCAGCGGTGACCACGGTGACCACGTGGGAGGGAGAGGAGGCGGGCTGCTCAGGGGAGAGGGCCACATTATGGCAACAGTTAGGAAGTTGCGTAAGTGCCGTGTTAGTGAAGAGGTAAGGGAACGGGCCCCTTTCCTGGGGTGGAGCAGGGACTGTGCAGCCTTTCTGGGAGCAGTCAGGAGTGCTCGGTGGAATGAAGGTCAGCACACACCCTCTGGTCCAGCAATCTCTCTCCGTCTCTGTCTCAGGGAAAGCTGCTCGGGTCCTGAGGGGACACGGACAGTCATCGCAGTGTTGTCTGCAGCAGAAGGGAGCTGGAAGCAACCTGGGGTTCCATCACTAGGGGATAAAGCAGTGACGTGTTGTGGAGCACCCTGCAGCTGCTAGAAGGACACACTGGATACTGAGTGTGCACAGATTTGGTGTCGTCACAGAAGCACAGAGAACCACTCCTCTTGGAGGCTTCATTGCTATCCAAGGGTACGTATTCACACGACAGAGTGGGTGCCTTTGTTGAAGGGCCCCAGGAGAGGAGATGTGGACCAAGGCAGGAAAGTGGAATTAAACCAAGAGACGGGCCTTGCTCAGCCCTGGGGCAGATGATCAACTCAACTCTCTGTAGTCCAGGTTCCCCCAGAGGGCTGTGGGTGGCACAGGCTTTCCGGACGGAGCACAGAGGCTGCAGTGGGCCGCTTCTCCCGGGGGCTGGCCGGGCTGTGCTCTAAGCCAGGCTGACGGGA